TAATGGTTTGTTTAATTTTCTTCAGTAGTAAGGTTTGAGCTTCGTCTAGATTTGTTCCATTTTTTTCACCTGTAAGGCAAAATAAAGCCAGGTAAAAGTGGGTTTAAACATCATTAGTGCCATTTTATTTTTTCTAACTTAATTTTATTTATTTCAGAAGTTCTTTACAAAGATACTCCAAAATGGGAAAAACTTAACGAAAAAACGAGAGATTTGCTTATCCATTGCATTTCAATAAATTCAAGTTATTCGTCTCAAGTTTTGCCACCGAAAAAGGTTGGAGAAAATATGCAACAACTTGGTAATAAGACGGAGTGTGGACTTCTCGGCTTTGTTCTCTCACTTGGTCAGAGTTATCAGACAATTAGAGATGCATATCCTGAAGAATTAATTTTTAAGGTTTTTTTTAAATTTTAACTTAATTTAAATATAAAATTCTAAATAATTTAAAATTTTTATATTTTACTTTATTTTAGGTCTATACCTTTAATTCTGTGCGTAAATCAATGTCAACAGTCATTGAACTTAAAGATGGGTTTGGAACAACTATTGGCTATCGAGTATTCAGTAAGGGGGCATCAGAAATAACTCTTAGAAAGTGCAAATGGATTTTTGGACAAAATGGGTTGGCTCCCTTCTCTGAACATAACTACGATCGATTGATGCGTGATGTTATTGAACCAATGGCCTCTGATGGATTGAGAACTATTTGTTTGGCCTATAAGGACTATATTTTAAAGAAGGATGAGCAAGCTGCAGGAAATGAAGTCATTTATGATGGTGAAATTGAATGGGATGATGAAAATAGTATTATAAATGATCTCACTGTAATTGCAATTATCGGCATTCAAGATCCCGTTCGTCCAGGTTTCGTTTACTTTTTTATGTTATTATTTTTCTTTTATGTTTTTAGAAGTCCCTGAGGCAATTGCCAAATGTCAACGAGCAGGAATTGTTGTACGTATGGTCACTGGAGACAACATAAATACAGCTCGTTCGATTGCAACATCTTGCGGTATTTTGAAACCGGGAGAGGATTTCATTGCACTTGAGGGAAAGGACTTTAATGAAAGAATCCGAAACGAAGAGGGAGAAGTTGTACAAGAAAAGCTTGATTTAGTTTGGCCAAAGCTGCGTGTTCTAGCCCGTGCTCAGCCGACAGATAAATATATTTTGGTCAAAGGTATCATCGATAGCAAATTAAGTGCAAATCGGGAAGTTGTTGCAGTGACAGGAGATGGGTAAATTTTTTTATATTTATTGTTATTACATTGAATTCCAACTTTAATGCATAAATATTTTATCATAACATTAAAATTTAGAACGAATGATGGCCCTGCATTGAAGAAGGCAGATGTTGGTTTTGCGATGGTTTGTTCTACTTATTATTAATTTGGATTAAAAATGTTACTATTTTTAGGGAATTGCGGGAACTGACGTGGCTAAAGAAGCTTCAGATATTATATTAACTGACGACAATTTCACTTCTATAGTTAAGGCTGTAATGTGGGGCAGAAATATTTATGATTCGATTGCCAAATTTCTTCAATTTCAATTAACTGTTAATGTTGTTGCTATTGTTATTGCATTAGTTGGTGCTTTAGCTATTCAGGATACACCAATAAAGGTTTTCTAATTAAATTTTATTACGTATATGTATATTATTTAGGCTGTTCAAATGCTTTGGGTTAATCTGATTATGGATACTTTGGCTTCGCTTGCACTTGCAACTGAACCACCTACTGAGGATTTGCTAAAGAGGAAGCCTTATGGTAGAACAAGGTATATTAGATGAGATTATGTTTATATTTTTTATGTTTTTAAACGTCTTGTACTTTATCTTTATTAATTTATGTCTTTTAGTCCATTAATTTCACGAACAATGATGAAGAATATTATTGGTCATGCAATCTATCAATTAACTGTGCTATTTACTTTAATATTTGCCGGTCATAAGTTGTTTGGCATTGAAAGTGATTTAAAAGCTCAACTCCGTGCTCCGCCTGGACAGCATTTTACTATTGTCTTCAATACTTTTGTTATGATGACTTTATTCAATGAAGTCAATGCTCGTAAGATTCATGGCGAAAGAAATGTTTTTAAGGTTGTTTTTGCCTCTGATTTTCTAAATTTTTTAAAACTATTTTAAGGGTTTAACTACCAATCCAATCTATTGTGCTATTTGGATAAGTACATTTCTGGTTCAAATTCTTATAATTGAATTTGGTGGCCATGCATTATACACTGACCCATTAACTGTAGAGCAGTGGCTTTGGTGTATTGTATTCGGAGTTGGTTCTCTTCTTTGGGCTCAGGTGATAGTTTAAAATTTATTTTGATGTTAATTAACATAAAATGAGTTTTTCGTCTAGCGATAAAGTACCCAACATTTTCATAATTTTGCCTTTTAACCTGCCTCTTATCTTTATTTTCTTTAGGTAGTTGCTACAATACCAGCGAAAGGATTGCCAAAAGGTTTAGCAATTGGGGGTGGAGAAGTTGAACCTGAAACTGCCAACATTCTAACTGGTGATGATGATGGAGAGCCTCATGAGAAACGTTCTGGACAAATTCTATGGATTCGTGGTCTCACTCGACTTCAAACTCAGGTCACTGATATTTGCCTTTTAAATAAGAAGACAAGTAATAAATCAAAAAATATTAAATCTAGACGTAGCGGCGTTAATACTAAATAATAATATGTGTGTAATTTCTTTGAAATAAGAAAAGCATTGCGCTTTTTCCGGTACATTCCTTGCCTTTTTTAATTGTATTTTTGTTTATACATATTCTCTCCCTATATCAATTATATTGGCTTTTGCTCAATGTTTTTTCTCCAATTATTATATTTATCCTATAATCTGTTCTTTTTATTCATGTCTGATACATAATAATAAAATTAAGTTATCTGTTTAGTTGATTATTTATATTTGTTTTATCATTCAAAATTTAGCTATACATAGCCATGCAGTACAGTCGGCTCTTCCACTTTCTGTATTTTCCCTATGTATGTTAACTCCTTGGTTGTATCCAGAAAAGTCTTTCGACGAGCTGAATAAGATTAATTTTTTTTGTTAAGAAAAAATGAACCATTTTATTTTCAGAAGCCAAATAAACTAACTTTTAGGCTCCATACCCATTCAGTAAAAAAACCCCAATTTCCTTTACCTACTTATTTTTTTCTTACCCTTAAATTAATTTTAATTATCTTCCGTTGTCCCTAAATTTTGTAAAATAAGTGTGAGAAAGAGTTGACTGATTTTATCATAGAGAAATTAATAAAAAAATTTAAATTTATTCTTTATCTTTAAATCCTTTTCTTTTTTCAAGAAAAAATTATCTGCTTAATAACATTTAAAATTGCACAATTTCATTTTCTACCTCAATACATATTTGTTTCCCAAATGCCGCGTATTTTATCCAATAAAAGCGCCGCTGGAAATATTTTTTGAAATTAGTTTTATAATTTGTGTGTTGGTCGTTTTAGTTTTTTTAAACAAAATTTATTAAATTTTAACATTAATATCCCTCCTTAGTTTCTGCTTTCATTTTTTCCTTTGTTCTTCATTTCAATGATTTTAATAATTAACAGAAGAAGATTCTGCCAACTTTTGTTTTTTATTTTGATTACGAGATTTTTAGGCTATATTACATAAAATGCTTCATCAGAAAGTTTTTTAGATTAGAAGAAAATCAGTCAAAAATACTTGGACATATCTTATTTTTTTCAAAAAAAATATTTTGGATGATAACACTCAAAATTATCAACAATTGAATATGGCAGCAATAGACTTTCGATTCTAATTTTAATTTAGCTTTTTTGATTTTCAAATTAATATTAATTTCTTTTCACTTTTTTGCTTTAACTAATATGTATTTGATGTAATGCTTTTTTATACTGTGCTTTTAGCTTTTAAACTATTTTCTACTTTTTTTCTTTCACAAATAGCCTATCAGAAACTGTTCTGGAAAGAGCGCTTTGTTTCCTTTATTTCCAAACTAATAACTTGAAAATTAAAATTAAAACGGCCACACGCATAGATTTAAAATAAATTTAATTTCTAGCCGCGCTTTTATTATTTTTTCTCACACATTTCTCTTTTTAAAGTTGCGTGTTGTGAAGGCATTTCGTTCTTCAATTGACGAATTTGACGAACACAATAATTCAATTAGCAGCGCTCATTCTACTCATTCTATGAGAGGGTATCGTTCTCATCATAAACGGAACTCTGGTTGTTCCTTTTCTTCACAACAATACCCATTTTTTCATTCTCGACAAGGAAAATTTAATATTGGAATTGGGAATATTGGGAGCCATAATAATGACAATCTTCAGTCAGATGAGGGAAGTAGACTACTTTCTTCTCCCCCTCCTCAATATTCACCAATTCCTACATCGACAACGCCTGTTTCTGTTTCATCTCCTTCACCTCAAAATGTTGTAGTTGAAAATGGACGACAATTTTTTACTAGAAAACATTCTGATAGATCAAATTCTGCTTGCCTATCTTCTTTTAAATGTGGTAGAGTAAACACTAATAATGAAGATGGAGAATTAAATGAAAGAATACCTTTAGTTACTAAATATAATTTAAATAATAAAGGAATACAAACAGGAAAAGCAACAACAATTAATAATAATAGCAATGCAATTCAAAAACAGCAATTACCTTTAATTTCTAAAGCTTATAGCATCGATTCACCAATGACCAGTGCTCATTTGTAACTCTATTAATTTTGCAATACAAATAATCTTCCCTTTTAGTTTTTTTGTTAAGCGTGACACCTTTAAAGTATTTCTAATGTTATAAGACAGGGATGTTTAAATTTGAAATTTAACTAAAAGTAGGAATTAACAAAAAGGCCAATAATTTAACAAACAATTACATACTATCTGACCCTACAATTTGTGATATCTTAGTGTAATTTTTAAAGGATTCTTTTGAAGGATTCTTCACTTTTTAATTGCTAATCGTTGCCATTTTTCTCTTTAATTTCAATTTACATCCCTGTTACTCGTTACTTTTTATTCTATGTTAATTTTAAGGCCAACCAACTGCCTGTTTTTTGTCCAGTTATTATTTTTTGTTTTTACACAAATTCACTTCAAAATTTTGTATAAAATACCCAGTTTTACCAGTGAATTTTATTATAATTGTTTTTTTACTTTAAAGTTTTTTGTCCTTATTGCCATTCGGGTCTTTATTATTCAAAACATTTTTGATTTTTTTTATAAAATTACCGAATTTTTAAAATTGTTTTTTTGGATTTTATAAGTTGCTCATTTTTTGATTTTTTTAAATTTCCCTTTTGAGGTAATTTCTCTTTTGCAATTCCACATATTTCCCATACCTGGCAAGGGAAGATGGGGTGTTGGCAAGCTTTTCTAATCCCATTTTTTAGCTTTTTTTGGCCAGGATTTGGCCCGGATATAGGAAATAATAAAATTTCTTCTTCACTCTTTGTGAGTTTATAAATATTATGTTGTTTTAAAAATGAGCAACTTTTTTTTAAAAAATACCGAAAAATAAATATTTATAAAAACATTTCCATTTAATTTAAACAAGAATTAGGTTTGCAATACCTCTCAAAATATAATTGAGTTAGAAATATGTTATTTCTTTTTTTCTCTCAACATTTTCTGAATTTTCAGCAACTTAAACCGCACTTAAATATATTTAATTTGTAATGTTTGTTTACATAAATAAATTTAGAAAAAAATTAATATTTGTTTTTTTTTATTTTGCAGTGCTGCTTTGGTTTTTAAAAATTTATTAAAATGTTTTCCCTTAATGTAAAAAATATTTTTATTTTTTCCTTCCATACATATCCTTTATTTTTTAATTCTCTTCCAATTTTTATTTTTTTTTTAAGTTGGAGATATTTAAAAAGGTTTAAAGTACCTGCTAATTTTTAAAATTCTAACCTAGGATATGCCTTTGGGACTGAAAATTGGGTACTTTTTGGATATGCCCCCACCCCAAGCCAGTTTGAATATCAGTTATTCCTTCTTCATTTTTGGTTTTATTTGGTCAAGCAATAACATTTATTTTCTACTAACATTTTACTGATTGAAGAAAATAAATGATTGGCATGAAGAATATAACTGCGATGACTCAAACAAGGGAGGGGGCATATCCAAAAAGTATATCTTATAGTGTCTTAGATTATGAATATTGAATAAGCTTGACTCTTAAAAATTAAGTTTATTCATTGGGAACTGTATAACACAAATTTTCCTTATAAAATTAATGAGACGTATGTAATTAAACCATCTTGTATGAATTTAAATATTTTTCTAAAAAAATTTTTATTTCTTTTTTTATTTAAAATTTACCCCTCCTTTTTAGTTTATTTTTGCAAAACAAACAATTTCAGGCAATTGTTGGCGAACGAATCTCCACTCCGCCTGGATTGATACCAATCCCGCGTAGTTCAGCACCCACTGATCAAGCAGTAAGAATATATAAGAAATGCTCTCTTTCTTTTAAAAAAATCTTTTTAATTTTAAAATTGGGAGGGATTTTAAATTAAAAATTATATTTTTCTTTTATTTGAAAAGCATAGAGAATTTTAAACTTTGGAGGCCTCATAAATACATAATCAATCAAATAATTTTGAACTCATAGATAGTAAATCAATCAAATAAGACATAAAATATAGGTCTGATTAGTATGACATTTTAGATCACAAAAATTGGAATGTCTCTAATAATCAAAATTGTGAGCTATATTACAACTATCTCATTTAATTGAACGTATGTAGATTTGTTTTTGGTAAAATAAGGAAAATTAAGGGACACAAATAGAAATGATGCCTTTAAAGTTTTAAATTCTCTTTCTATTTTTCTTTGATGTGTTTATAGGCATTTATTGCTTTTCAAAAAAACAATATTTAATTATTTCTTAGACTACTTAGAGTTGTTGTAATTAACTGCTTGATTAGTTGTGGTGCTGTTTTTTGGTTTTCTTTTTTGTGTTTTTAACAAAAACTAAAAAATCTTTTACTTTTCCAATTTATTTTCTTTCTTTTTTCTTTTGTCTGTTTGTTGTCTGTTCTAAAAATTTTCAAAAAAAATTTTAAAAAATTAAATTTTTTTATTTTTATTTATTTTAGATTCGAGTAATTCGAGCTTTCCAATCTGGCGTTGATCGAAGGGAACAATCTCTTAGTGGTCCAAGTGCTGCTAGGTTGAGGGAAATTAGTCGTCAACTTAAATTACAGGTGGAAAGAGAAGGTAGAGAATATATTTATTTGTTAATTTCCTTAGTATTTTTCGACATTTGGGGAGTTTGAGCAGTTGTAACACCTTGTAAATGCCGACAATAAATAAAAAATTTATTTTATATGGGTGTATTTTAAATAATCACTTGGGAAATTCTGATGATTACCCCCAAATTAATTAGGGGAAGGGTGTTATCTAATATTGGATTCTGATTATTACCCAAATTAATAAAAAAGTGGGGGGGGGGGGTATCTAGTATCAAATTATTTTTTATATATTTTATTTTAAAGCAGTAAGATCTCGCTCTTCTTCAAAAACTTCCCATACAGCAGAAGCCCATTCACGTGGACTAAGAAATTCAAAAACCCCAGAAGAGCATAATGAAGCAGTCAGTGCTGTTTGATTTAACAAACACTTTAAACTATATTATTTTTTGTTTTTTTTTTTAAATTTCACATTAGCCTGCTTATTGAATTTCATCGAAATGCTTTTTCAATTTTTAATTATTTTTTGAAACATTAAAATGCTTTGTTTTTTATTAAATAAAAATATCAATCTATTTTTTATACATTATAAATTATTGAAAAAATTTATTTCAGTCTAATTGTTGACTAAACCCAAAATTTGGAATTTCTTTGTTACGGAATAGTGTTCACGACCGGTTTTAAAACAGAAAATTTTGATATTTTTGCCAAAAATTAACCGTTTTTACAGAATTTAAAAAACCGAAAACTTCTGAAAATGGGTGTACGGAATTTTGGTCACCGGAATTTTGGTCACCACGATTTTTCGGAACTTTGGTCACCAATTTTTTTGGAATTTTGGTCACCAGCGGAATTTTGGTCACCAAGAAAAAAAAACGGAATATTGGACACTGAATTTTGGTCACCAGTAGGAATTTTGGTCACCAAACTGAAAATTTTAATTTTATTCTAAACTGATATAAATGTGATTAAATAATGTTTTTCAGCTCCCAGTTGATCAATTTCAATGTTGATCACTCTCACAGTTAATCAATCATCCGGGATAGTGATCGAGAGTGATCAACCGAGAGAGTGATCAGTCGAGAGAGTGACAAACAGTGAAATTGATCAAATGGGGGTTGAAAAATCATTTTTTATCACTTTGATATCAGTTTTAGATAAGATTCTTTTTTTACGTTTGGTGACCAAAATTCCTATTGGTGACCAAAATTCCTATTGGTGACCAAAATTCAGTGCCCAATATTTCGTTTTTTTTTCTTGGTGACCAAAATTCCGCTGGTGACCAAAATTCCAAAAAAATTGGTGACCAAAGTTCCGAAAAATCGTGGTGACCAAAATTCCGGTGACCAAAATTCCGGCACCCCTGAAAATGAGTGATTTTATTAAAAATTCCCCAGAATAAAACTGGTATTTGTCTAAAAACCGAAACCGATAACCGGGGGTACCGGTTCAAATTCTCATGTTTTCAATTCTCAAAATTTCAATTCTCATATTGCAAATTAAGGATAAATGCTCAATTTTTGTTTAATATTTCTCTGAACTATTTCAGAAAGTATGGAATTGTTTTGAGTTTTGATAACAATAAAACAAATAAACGGCATTGAGATTTTAACATTATAAATAAAGGTCCACAAATGTCTTCTCAAAATTATTTGAATTAATAAATGTTTAAGTGTTTTTATACTCGAAAAACATTTTTTTTATTTTTTTAATGCCGCCTTCATTTTTATTTTGTTATTTATTTTTTTAGCTTTCTCCATTCATTCCCTCCTTGTTATTTGCCAAAAACTCTTAAAATTTTCTTCTTTTTTCCTTTTCAATTTCCTTCCGGCCTTCTTCTCCATCAATTTAGGTAATAAATCACGATCTTGAAACTGCCTCTAGATTTGCCGAATGACGGATGACCATCAACTGAGGACGAGAAAATGGCGAGAAAAAAATAATTTTTTTAAGAAAAGGGAAAAAAATATTTTTTAAACATTTGGCTAAAAATTGCTGTAATAAATAAATAAATTTTATTTTATTTAGCGGTATTTTTAAATTATTTTTTGTTAATATGCTTAATTACCTAAATATTTTTGTTAGATATTGATGAGTAAAATAAAGTTTTTTTAGTTTTGTCTATCCGCAATTTTTGGTGCGGATAGGTACTAATTAGAGACCGGTCTGGGAGGGGGGTCAACCCTGAAGACCTACACCCTAAGGACCTACTGACCCTGAAGACCTATTTACCCTGAAGACCTACAACTTTTTGATCAACTCAAACTATTTATAGTAGGGGATATCGAGGATCTCTTTATCCCTATAAATCCCTCTATCCACTTTAAACCCTCAAAATCCTCGATATCCCCCTTAATCCATCTTTATCTCCTTTAAAACCTTCAAATCCATCGATATCCCCCTTAATCCCCCCGATTAGACTTGTAAAGAAATAAAAAATAAAAAATTGTGTTGATCAAAAAGTTGTAGGTCTTCAGGGTAAATAGGTCTTCAGGGTGTAGGTCTTCAGGGTCAGTAGGTCTTCAGGGTGTAGGTCCTCAGGGTGTAGGTCTTCAGGGGTGGACTCCTGGGAGGATAGCACGAGAATCGTACGAGATATCTCGAAAAGTCTCCGATAATCGAGATTTTCGTTTGAGATCTCGTCTCGATCCGGTCTCTAGTACTAATCATGATCTACATTTGAGAAACAGCTAAACAATACTACATATCTCTCTCTGCCTAAAATGTAGATTGAAAACTATCTATTACTATATTGGATTTATATGTTTTGAGGAGGCTTGAATGTATTTATTTTAATTTTTCAATTTCTCAATATTAAATTCCATTAATATTAAATTATTAATTTTAAGAAATGCAAGGATGATACTTTTTACACACATATCTACTAAATATTTAACTTCTTTAATTTCTTTATTTTCTCATTTCCATTTTTATATTTATTTTATTCATCCATCATTTGATCATCTTTTTATTATTGTCTGCCCAGCGGGTGAAAAAAATATAAATACCTACAAACTATAAAAGAAGGCTCCCTTCCCTTTAATTCTTTCTTTTGTAAAGCAGCGCCATTTTGAGTTTTGCCTTAAAAAATAAAAAAAAATTTATTTATTATCAGCTCATCCAGAATTTGGCAGAAGAAAAAAAGAAAGAAAAAAAGGTATTCTTATTTTTTAAAAGGCTGCAAAACATTAAAAAATCTTCTTTTCAATGATTAATTGGGTAGAAGGATGAGAGAAAAAAGAACTATTATTCAAGTATGTACTTTTTTAAGCCCTCTGGCGCCTTTCAAGGGCCATTTCCCACCCATGCCAGTTAAGAAGGCGCAATAAATCTTGAAAAGATGCCACTCAATCTTCTCTCTTTTTTTGCCGACTGAAGGAATTGAAGAAGAAAGAAAAAAGAAACCCCCTTCCTTCCTTCATCCACTCATTCCCTTCCCCCTCTATCCCCTTTTTTTTGATGGTATGGGATCAATTTCTTCTGTCCATTGATTTTGATGGTGATTGATGGCGACGGACTGACGGCGGCGACAAAGGGCCGACAGGCGCGGTAAGAGGGAAAGGGAGAGAGGAGACCGCCCCGGTGGTAAAAGAGAGGGGGGGGGGGGAATGAGGGAGGGGCAAACAAACACTCTAAAATACCTATATTTATTTATTTCGTTCAACACAACGCCCATGCAATCCTCCTTTTATTTTTACTCATTTTTACCCACGAAAATAGTTTTGTTGGCTGAAAATGCTTTTTCTCATTGCAACAAACAGTAAAAGAAAAAAAAGTTATTTAAACTTTGAATATTTAAAATTCTTTTTTTGAATTGTTTTTTAAACATGGGGAGTTAAGGATTACTTTTATTCTCAAGTTGATCGAGTTTCTAATTTTCAAAAGTTCCATCATTTTGGTTAGTTCTAATTTCCAACACACCCGTACCTACATATGTACTTCCAAAGATGTTTCGAAACTAAAAATATTTGAAATTGAAAATATTTTTCAGAATCTTCGAAATCGAAAATTGAAAGAAAAATAACCTCAAAAATTGAAAATATCACAAAATTTCGAAAATCGAAAGGAAAAAACCTCGTAAATCGAAATCTGCCTACTTCCTTTAAATTTTAAATACCTACCCCCTCCCCTTCAATCTCTTCACCTTTTTATTTTCAGAATAAAGAATATAATTAAAAACATACCTAATTTATTTTTTTAATTCCCCCTCCCCCTCTCTTTTATTTTCAATACAAATCACCGCTAAATTAAATACTATTTATTTATTTTACAAAAAAACTACTTCAAATTCCTTTCCCTTCAATTCACCGCCAATCAAAGAAAAAAAAGAATTTTTCTTTTTTTGTCGGACCTGCCAAAACCAATTAAATAAATAAATTTAATCTTTATTGCCTTTCTTTTTAAATATAAATCATTTAAATTAATTTTTAAATTATTTAAAGGAAATTATTGAAAGAGAAGGGAATTGATGTTAAATAACATTATAGGATAATTGCATTAATTTTTTGTGGGGGGTGGAGGGGGCTGTTAACCGTAGCAATTATAAGATAATTACAATAATTTTTTTGGAGGGTAGGGGGGGGGGATTGCAGTCTCTATTAATTAATAATCTCTATTAATCTCTATTATTATCTCAATTAATTATTATCAGTCTCTCTTAATTCATCCAAATTTATTTTAATTTTTTTACAAACTTCCTTAACAAAAACAATTAAACAAATAATTATTTTATAATTCTCCCACCCTTATTTATTTACGTAAAAAGCTTATCTTTTCCAAACAATCGCCTATTAAAAAAAGAATTTATTTTTCTAATAAAAATAATTTATTTTTAATTTTAATCAAAACTTTTTCATCTCTCCCTCCCCTCCCCCCCCCCCTCCCTTCTCGTCAACATTCTTCCTTTTATTTTTATTTATTTTCTTTTCTCATTCGCGTAATTAATCACTTAAAATATTCGTCAGTTGCAGAGAAAGAAATAAGGGAAAATTAATCAGAAAAAGTAATTAAATATATTTTATTTTCTTTTATTTTTTCCTTTGATCTAAATAGCTCATTACTATTTTATTATTTTTATTTTTTAATGTTTTTTATAAGGAGAGGAGAGAAAGGGAGAGAGAGAAACATCTTCTTCTTCCTCCTTTTCTGATTTATTATTTATTTTTATGACTGACTTTTCTCTAATAAAATTATTTTATGGCTTTATTTATTTTTATTGAGAAAATTTTTGAAGTGGGAGGGGGGCTGGGAGGGAGGCTATTTTGGCGTGGAGACATTTAAAGATATTCACAAAAATAAATTTTATTTTATAAGATACATACAAAGGGGGCCATTTATTACCCCTCTCTTTTACCCCCCCCTTGTTTTACTTCAAAGATTTTCAGAATTTTTAAAATTTATACATAAAATCTCACTCCATACCTTCCCAACGTCCAAACCTCCCCTTCTGTTTTCCTTTCATTTTATGATTTTTATTTTACAATTTTTATTCTCTGCTTTTATTATCCTTAAAAAATATTTTTTTATCAATTTAAATACATCATTTATTTAAAATTCTTTTTGCTAATTTTCACAATTTCTTCATTCTATTTTTTTATCATTTATATTTTAAGCAAAAATATTTTTTATTAAATCGCCTTAAAATGGAGCAAGCAATAACAACAATTAATAATAGCCTTCCTTTACAACAACAAAAACACGAATGGAAAGACGATCCTTTACAAATGTTAGCTAAACAATGTGACACAATTAGTGGAGACGAAGATAAAATTAATAAACAACAAATGGGAAATAAAAGAAAATATTTAAATGGAAATTCTAATAATAATGATTTTGGAGGAATTAAAAATGGACAGAATAAAATAAAAATTAAAAGTCCTAATAAAGTAAGGGAGAGAGAGATTAATTAATTAATTGAGGGAGGGGGGGGGGGGGAATTTGTAGACAAAGATTTTAAAATAATTTTTTAGTTAGACCAAGCAGCAATGCCCAATGTTATTCCCCCTTTTATGCCCCCACCCAATGGCTTTGGACTTTCCCATCCAATGCAGTTGGCTGCTGCTGCTTTTTTGCATCCTTTAATGCCAACACAAAGACCACCAACTTTTACTCCTTCAAATAATTTTTGTCCCCCAAATTCCTCTCCATTTACATCCCCAGCTCAACTTCATTTTATGCAACAACTTATGGCTGCAGCTGTTCAACAACAACAATTACCTCCTCCTCCGCCACCATTACCTCCGACTAATCTTCAAACACAACAACAATTACCGCCAAATTTTCTTCCTTCTGTAAATTTTTTTATTTTGTCGGATCTCAATATTAAAGTGTGGGGAGGGAGGAAATCGTTTATATCTCCCACCAAATAGCCAACTAAATTAAAAACTAAAGTGGATTAACAATCCATCTTATTTTGTTTTAGATGTTTCCTCAACAACATCCCCAAAATCCATCAGGTATTCCACTTCCTGCCAATATGCCCGTGCCAGCAAGAAAATTAGACCAAAGACCTCCAAGTGCTAATAACCAATTTAACAACAATAATCAACAAAATTCTGATATTGAAGCAGCTACTCTTGCAATGGCTATGTTTCAACAACAACAAAATAATTCTTTCGGGCAAGGACTTGCCTCTAACGGAGGGACAACAATGACACAACAAACAGTTGATAATAGGTAGGGAGGAGATTGTGGGAATTTTGGACTTTAACGGCCCAAGGCTATTCAGTATAGTAGTAATTAGAGACGAAATAAGCGTTGATTTTTGCATTTGTCTAATCACTAGTAATTGAGGATATGGGAAGGGGGCCTCTCATTCTTATTAAAATCTTTCCTTTTTTAGCCTCCTAGCTCAACAAATACTTCAACAGCCAATCCCAGCTTTATTAATGGCTGCAGCCTGTGGTCAGTTGCCTTCACAGTTTGCCTGCCCTTACCGATTACGTGAAGGACAACCTTGTGGGCGTTTATTTAATTCAGATGATCAATTATTTGCTCATTACAAATCTGCACATATTGCGCAAATGAGTTCTCCAAGTGCTGTCAGTTCAACAACAGAGGGCCCTGCTGTTTCAACCCCTTCAACAACTATTCAAACACCAACAACCACTACGGCAAATGGGCGACCTAAAATAACGAAAAATTCTCCGTCGGGAATACAACAACAACAAACAACAAATAATAATAATCATCAATCTAATAATAATAAAAATTTTGGTTGGCATCAACAATTATTTCAGTCGCCTTTAGGGTTTATTCCGACGCAGCCATTTCTTGGGCCCCCTCTTACTACACAACCTCCACCACCACAGCCAACTACAGCAACTACAATGATTGGAGGTAGGTCTTCCTTTCTTAATCCTTTCCTTTCCTTTTAAAACCTCTTACTCGTACCAGTATCGCTTCGAGATGTAGGGACTCCCTTATCATTCTTTAGCCTTCATTATTTAATCTCCCAGTTATCCCCAAGTTATTCTAGTTATCCCATCCTGGCTCCTTTCCAGACTTTCGGAATAACATAGTTATTTTTTTACTTTCTAGCCCAAAATCATCGATTCCATCCATATTCTCAACCAAATCAAGGAAATCAACAAATAACAAAATCTGTTCAAATGCCGCCACCACTTCCTTCCTTTCAGCAACAAATGGCTCTCGCATTGGTTAAAATAATAAATAAATATTCAAAAAATAATAATTTTTTTCAGAATTTAATGGCTAATTCTGACGTTTCTTCACTTCAACAATTTGCTCAAAATACTAATAACAATATTCCCCCACCCCCTCCTCCTTCAGAATTAAATTCAAATTCACAATTGGCTGCTTTAACAGCTATGGCTAATTCTCTTGGGGGAAATAATCAAGCACAAATTGCTGGAAGTAATTAAAATAAAACAACGATTATTTGGTGATTTTACGGGTTTTTAAAGAAAAACTTTCGATTACAAAAAAATAATTTCTTTCCTTTTACAGTCGGCCTGATTATAAAAGAAAGGATACACTAATTACTAGCGATTGAATTTTTGGGGTATAACCTATTTTTTATGAAATAGTTATGGTGTCCCTACAATATAAATAGACCTGAAATTTAAAATAAAATTTTCAACCCCGAGGTTTTTGTAATCAGACTCGACTGTATTTTTATTTCTGCCTTTTCTTTTAAAAATAATTTTATATTTTTTCCTCATTCCCTTCCATTGCCTTTATTTCCTTTTAGCCAAATGTCCCTTACTTCCGGTCTTCCTTGCCTTCAATATATATTTTCTTTACACTTTCAATTTTTTGTTGCGCAATAAAGGACAGTTAATTTACTAAATTTTGTTTAATTAATTTAAGGAAAAATTTTAAAAATTATGACAAGTTCACTTGTAAAAAAAGCTCAACAACGTTTGCGAACAAAATTAGACTTACTGAAATAGGAAAAAACGGTCATTGAGTAGGGTTGTCGTTTTTTGGAAAATCTTTTGATATAAGGGGAAGAACCGAAAAATTATCCTCGGTTTCTGAACAATCCTAAAATCGAGTTTTATCTACTAAGTCTTCATATTTTTTTATCTAACATTTTGTGGGTATCCACAAATGTCGCTTTATCGCGCGTTAGTTTAGAAAAAAATTTTTGACAGATTTTCTCGCCTTTAAAAAAGTATTTTTTATTTATTTATTTGATTGATTGTTTTGTTTGTTTTGCTGCAAAGAATGAAAGAAATAAAGGGTTTTAAAGTTGGCGCTCATCAATCACTTTTTTTTAAAAATAAAATAAATGAATAGATCTACTCCTCTACTCATTCCTTAAAAATATTTTTCAAAATCTAATGAAGAAAAAAAAAATTTTAAAAATAAAAAAGAAAAGAAAGAAATTAATAAAAATGAATAATTACTTTGGATTTAAAAAAAAATATTTTTAAAATAATTTATTAATTGTTTTACTAAAGAATAATGAAAGAAAAGAATTTTTTAAGTAATTATCATTAATCAAAGCCTTTAAAATATTAATTTGATTACATATTAATACTAGAACGCCCAATTCTTTTATCTAAAAATTAATAATGTTTTAGGTAATTGGATGGTATTACCAAAAATTACCGAGCCAGTACTATTTGTAGTATGTACATACATAAGATGTACCGAATTGTGCCTAACTCTAATTTTAATTGAAATTTTTTTTAATTTTCTTCTGCTTAAATAAAGACAATTAATAATTGTTTTCATTAATCTCTTAATTTTATTTTATCCAAAAATATCTATCTCTTTCAAGCAATTTTCTCCAGTCAACATTGCCCAAGGCAAAATTACAAAAACAAAATTTTTTAAAATATTTTTGGGTGAATGACGGCAAATAATGAATGAATGATTAGTAGTTAATAGTTATTCTTTTTCTTTTATTTTAAATGATGGATTGGTGAATGACAGGTGGAAATATTTTTGAAGAAGAAAAAAAAGAGAAGAAGTGATGATTGATGGTTGCTGGCCGGTGGCCATTGCCGAAAGGGGAAGAATGGGGGGGGGGGTGTCTGTCCTGCAAATTTGTTTCTTCTCATCTTTCTCTGTTGGAGAGAAAAGAAAGATTTTCCGCTCTAATGAAGGGAACAGTGAAAAAAATGATGAAAATTGTAGAAATTATTTTTTAAAATAATTTTTAATTTTAATCGAGAAAAATAAAATTATAATCTTGACGTTTCCTAAATCTCCTTAAAATTTAAATTAAAAAACAGAATTTTACCGTAGGGAATAACCGGAAAATTACTATATTTTAGTTTTTTTAGTTAGCTCTAATGAAGGGATGTATGTACCTGTATTTCCTAAAATAAAGCCCCATGTTAAATTAGAGCCCCACTTTGGAGGATAGTTGAAAAATAGAGCCCCATGGGGCCTTTTTTTTAGGAAATACGGTATTTCTTTGTTGTAATAATACGAGAGTAAATTTCTCACAAAAATCTTTACTGTAATTTTTCTTTTTGTTGATCTTTTAATGTTTACTTTGATTAGAATTTCTAAGGTCCTTCCATTTGATTTTAGCGCTCTTAAATTTAAAGAAAAATGTCATAAAAATGTCCATTTTTATTAGCAATCGGAAATGAAAATAAATCGAGAAAAAAATATTTTTTGTAAAGAGAAAGAGAGCGAGCGGTTTTATTCAAAAAGAGAAGGGGGAAGAAGAAATGGTCGATGACAATTTATTTTTATTTTATTGTCAGGTCTGGGAATGCCGCCAACAAAAGAGGAGACAAGAAACAATTTTATGGGGGAATTTTTATTTGTAGAATTAATTGGAAAAGTGTTTCTTTTTAACAAGATTTCCTTCTTTTCAATTTTTGAATAAAGATCTTATGGATAAAGTAAAAGATGAAAATATTAAAGTTTCAATTACTAAAATATTTGGGGAAAACAACATTTTGAAAGGCGATATTCTGGGTAAAACCAAAAATGGTTCATTAAATGTAAGGGATTAAAAGAGATTTTGAGCAATTCGAGAGTATTAACTAAAAATAAAAGTATTATTTAAGTATTATCTATATCCCACCCCCTCCCTTCTTCCCTTCCATCACTTTTAATTCCCCCTCCAAATCCTCTTTCATCTTTTTTTCTCTTTTTATCTTCTTCTAATCCGCTCACCTCATTTTTTTCTCTCTTAAATTTACAAATCTATTCGTTTCTGTTTATTCACTAGATTAGCAGCAAAAACCCATCAAAAAGTTGAAGAGAAAAAAAAGAAAAGATAATCCAAAAACGAATAAAAAAAAGAAAAAATAATTTAATAGTTATTTTGTTGTTAAAAACCAATTAAAAGGAAAAAAAGAATAATTAATTACACCCGGAAATTGATCTAAGAAAATAAATTTATTTTATTTATTTTTTTCTTCAATCAGAAGACCACATACCCCCATTAATTAATTAAATAAAAGTGTTAAATGGCCCTAAGGGAGTTTTTAAAGTTTTTAATTAAATTCTCTTTTTTTATAAAAACATTTTTCTTTTTATAAAAAAAATCTTTTTTTCAATTTCTAGCCCACCCCAAATGATGGACGACCTTCCCTTTTAATTAAATATAAATTTATATTTATTTCTTCCAATCTTCCAAACAAAAATTACTTGACGGTCTCCTTTTAAAAAGCTTTTTATTGATAGACAGTTAAACAATAATAGACTAATCAATCAAGTAAAAATCAGAGACAGACAGTCCCCATTAAAGAAAATGATTAATGGAAAATACGTTTATAGTTAAAATAGGGATAGATAAAATTGGATAAAAAATAAGATGGAATGAGACTCCTCGCTATACTTGGCTGAAAAATAATGAGAAGGGTTATCTTAAATTATGGGTAACAATTAGACATCTCCTAGGGGCCATTTAACTTCTTGATTCTTTTAAATATTCAATGCTGGGTTCATCCTATGATGGGATCAACAGTAATCTATCTATTTCTCTTTACATTTTTTAATAATTGTAAAATCTTCTGTTTTTTCTGTTTCATTTACTTCAATCATTATATAAAAATACCAGGAAATGTATAGTAATTCTTTCTCTTTCTCTCCAATTCTTCTTTTTCACATTTTCATCATCAATCACTTTGAAAGAAATTTGATGGGCGAGCATTTGGAGCGGTCATCATTCAAAGGCGTCAATCCATCAAATTAACGTCCATTGGAGGGGGAAGTATGTATATATTGGTAACAGATGGAAATAAATGTTTGGTGGAGGGGAAATGAGAGAAAATAAAATTTAAAAAATTTTAAGAAAGAAAAAGGAAAAATTTTAAAATTAAATGTGAAAAATATAGGAAAAAGGTAATAATTAAATTTACGAACAATAGGATAATTAATTAAAAAAGGTTATTAAAATCTAAAAGGAATTTATGTAGAAATTAAATACAGTCTATTGGATTACTATTTTAGGGGTATAGTAAATAAATAATATATGTATAAGCTTTGTGAATAATTGTTGGTACTTATCGGTTATACCCATAAACTGAGTGCCAGCCTAATTTGATCGGATTTAAGCTTTTGATTTTTGATCCAATTCAAATAAATTTTATATCATTCGAAAGCCCTCGATAAGAAGAATCCATTCTTTCAACTTAATGGATCAAATTTGATCACTCGTTAAAATGTTATAACCCGATAGATGTGAAAAACACCAAGTAACTGGACTTGTCTTGTTATAACTTTTTAATGAGTGATCAGACTTAATATCCTAAAAAATAACCTATTGCTTATCGAGGGCTTTCGAAAGATATGAAATTTATTTGAATTGGATCAAAAATCAAAAGGTTAAATCCGATCAAATCAGGCTGGCACTCAGTTTATGGGCGTATAACCGATAAGTACCTAATTGTTAGTCCGCAAGTGTTGCTTTACTAAATTCTTTCAAGTCTCTAATCGACAAAATTGATCTTTATCTGATTTTATCTTTAACATTTATATTGTTGCTAAGGATAAAAATAAACCAGAAATAATTTCCTGTTTAATATTTGGATTTTTAAAACAGTCTAACCTAAAATACATCCTTGAGCTGAAAAATTATAACAAAGTTTAATAATTTAATATTTAGGGTTGTCGGATTGGAACTGATGAACTGTTGAATTTTCGATTAGGCTTTTGATAACTGGAAATTTTCCAAGAACAGACAATCTTAAATACCAAAGACTGATTTATTATTTAAAACCCTATAATTATTAAAAAATATACAATAGAATCCCCTCTTTCAGAAAAAATTGAAAATATTTCGTTTATTTTTTGACTAAATCTTTTTTTTCTTTTTAAACCTTTTCATAAATATTTTTATTTTATTTCAATTTCAAGTTTTTTTCTTTTCAATTCTTCTTTTAACCCTTTTTTAAATACTAATAAAACTAATCAGTAAGTGTATTCCTTAAATTGATGTGAAATC